TTTTTGGTGGCCATACTATGCATGTCAGGTGGATCTTAGTTCTTTGACTAATAATCAAACCTGTGCCCCCTGCAGTGGAAGCTCAGAGTCTTAACCACTGGACAACCAGGGAAATCCCTGGTTCTTGATAAGTTCTCCTGATACTCAGATCTCATTGTTTGGGTGTTGATCCTAAAATTTTTATTTCAGCTGGTTTTAAGACTTGCTGTCTTTGGGGGCACTGGTGCATTTCCTAGGCACCTAGGGGGTCTGGGCAAGAGGACCAGGGAAATGTGTGCTTGGGTTTTGTCAAATTTGGCTTAAATTGAAAAAAAAAAAAAATGAGTTGATATATGGTCTGAACAAAATTTTACTAGTGAAATCAGAGGCTGAATTTTTCATCTCCAAAGAATAAAGGGACATTTTGCTCCTTCGAATTACAAGATACTCTTAGATGACAGAAGATCTCCTGGAAGTGTCGAAGGATCAGTTTTCATGACCTGTAGCAGTCCCATAAGGCAGCCCCATCATGATCATTAAGTAAGTACTGCTTATCTGGGGGCATGACAGAGGCTGATTGCCTGGTGCTTCAAGCACTCATGATGGTGTCATTGAGAGAAACTAAGCCACCTGAAAGAACTCAAACCAGGGAATTTCTGGATGGTCCAGTGGTTAGGACTTGGTGCTTTCACTAAGCTCCAGCAAACTGTGTGGTGGGGCAAAAATAATAATAATAGTAATAATATCTCCAGATCTTGGTAACTAGAAATTAAACCAAATTAAATTATGAGAATTCATTTGCTATCCAGGTCATTTCAAATAGGATGAAATCCCAGAACATTAACTGTTGGGGAGGTCTAAGTTCTTAAGAGAGGAAAATTAACACATAAGTTTGTCAATCAGGAAATACCAATTTCACAGCAGTTTACAATTTCTTGCTTCTTGGTTTTCACTAGAGATTTTTTTTTTTTGGTGGCCATACTATGCATGTCAGGTGGATCTTAGTTCTTTGACTAATAATCAAACCTGTGCCCCCTGCAGTGGAAGCTCAGAGTCTTAACCACTGGACAACCAGGGAAATCCCTAGATTTAAGGTTTTAAGGTTAAGAATTATAAGGGAGACATTTCAGGATGCAAGGAAGGTAGGATGTGTGTTTTCAACAAAGAAAAGTATAAGGAATGAAAATGCATTTTGTTAAAGGGGAAAAAAAGGTGGTGTCCTAGAGCTGGTTGTTTCTTTATAGGTAGAGAAAGTTGTGGAAGTTTCTGGAAAAGGACACTGAGAGTTTTGTGCAAGGTCAAGACTGGCTAAGACTGAACTCAAGAAAAAGTTTTAAAGTGGTACAAAACCTGAATTTGGCCTTCTAAGAGGACAAATTTTTCTTAAAATATTGAACTGCTTTTGTTACTAGATTATGAGTTTGTTTGAGTGACCTGAATTTGCCCTTGAGATCTTTGTCACTTTGGTTAAGTGAATGGGAATTGTTTCACAGTGACCTGTGATTCTATTTGACCAAGTGTTTTAAAACTTTTTGATATTTTTGACAACCTTTCCAAGCATCAAATTCTAAGTGAAGTTTGTTTGACCTCTCTAGCTAACTTTGAGGTTTTTCTAAATTGTCCCTGGAGCACCTCAAAATACTTGTTTTCTCCCCATCTCAGAAAGAGGAATATTAAACTGATTAGACTTATTTGGTATGTTAAATGAGAAGCATTGTTAAACAAGTGGTGATAAAACTTCTTAGGTTGTCATATGGGTAAACATTTTTAATAGATATACACTAGAAATTATAAAGAACTCCTAAAATTCTGGTATGACCTGGTGGTATCAGTCATAGATTTAGTGTATGTCACAGCAGTCAGTAATCAAGTTGCTTTTCAATTGCAATGTAATCAGTCTTTAACCTTGACTTTTAAAGTTTTTGTCATGTATAGCTAACTATATGGTCAGTTAACCACTTATTTGGTAGAAATGAGGGTAATTTTAGAAAAAGATTGTTTCAGTGAACATTCTAGTTTTGTTAATTGAAGTATTTACTAAGACTCACTTCCCAGATAGCTCCTTGTAAGTTTAGTTATTAAAAGGACAGTTTTTGAAGTCTATCACAGTAATCTAACTTTGGGTTTTTTTGTGTGTGTTTGTGTGCATGTTTATTTGGGATATAGTTGCTTTACAACAGTAATCCAACCTTGGATGAGATTGGATTCACCATCACGTGCAACCAGGACATTATTCATACTGGAAAAGACATGGGGATAAAGGATTCCTTAAAGCCATGATAGAAGACCTCTCCTGAATGAACTGAAACTCCTGTTTTTGACACCTGACTTTAACTAAGACCAGCACTACCAGACCATGATAAGACATCCGAACTAAGACAGATGACCCAAGATTCTGGACCAGACTTGTATACTATTTTGACAATTGCTCTTGGTTTTGCTTAGGAACCAAATGTTTTTCTTGGGCTCAAACACATGCAAGTTTCAAAAACCAATTATTTTAAGACAGTCCAGCACTGTGCACGCTGTTACACTGCCAGTATCGGAGACCCTTAACCAGCCAGTTAACGCCTCTTCTGCCATGTTGTTGCTGTGTAGTCACTAGGTTGTGTCCAACTCTGCGACCACGTGGACTGCAGCTCGCCAGGCTCCTCTGTCCAGGGGATTTTTCAGGCAAGAATACTGGAGTGGGTTGCCATTCTCTTCTCCGGGGGGGATGCACTGGCAGGGATTCTTTACCGCTGAGCCACCAGGGAAGCCCTAATGGTTGTGGCACACAGGCTCAGTTGCTCCATGGCACGTGGGATCTTCCCAGGCCAGGGATTGAATCCCTGTCTCCTGCATTGGCAGGTGGATTCTTTCTGCAATATATAATCCCTTGTATTAGTGGCTGGTAGTTCCTACTAGGACCCAGTAAAGTTTTGGTACAAGTTTATGACTTTAGCTCTCCCCAGGATGGTTAGGGGGATGCACAATGAAGTTTCCCCCGGGCTCAAGGATACTTACAGGCAGCCCGGGAAATAGTCCCTGCCGTTATGTCTGCCTTCAGTGCAGGCACACTGGTTTCTGTCTTCCAGTGATAGGACCATGTGGCCATGGTTATTTGTTCCCTCATCTTAAGATCCATGAAGAGGCAAATTTCTGCTTTGAAGTTCAGATGTTTGAATGACTTGAAACTAGACCACATCTATAGTTTTCTATAAAATAATGGACATACACAATGTACATGCAAGGAAATTTAGCTCAAGTCCCTTATTGGACAGTCTAGAATTGGCTGTCAGTCCCTGACGAACACTCTTGCTAGCATAACCCTCCGAAGAGAGAACCGGGCTATCAGGAAGGACTTGGCATCAAGGGACCCGATGGCACTGAAGCAGGCAAGCAGCCACCCTTGCTTTGAGGGATCAAACACTTCATCACCTAACACTGTCAAAAGATTAAAGATTGACAGGGGGAAACTGTGAAGTACATACCTTATGGCAAGACTTTTTAGTGTTTTATTTGGCTGAGCCAGGTCTTCTACATGGGATCTTCCATCTTTGCAGCATGCGAGCAAACTTAAGACATTTGGGATCTAGCTCCCTGACTAGGGATTGAACCCTGGCCCCCTGCATTGAAAGCACGGAGTTTTAGCCACTGGACTAAGGAAATCTCCAAAACAAGAAATCTTCCCTTTGGCCTTCTCTCTCCTGCCACTGTGCATTGTCTATCTAGCTGCATTATGCACTGACCAAACTTTCCTCATTGGCAGAAATTTCCACTCAATCATAAAGAGCAATATTTTCCTAAGACAAGCCTTCAAAGCTTATGTAACTGTGTTTTCACTTCTAATAGGCAAAACAGTTCTTAGAGCTTTCTGAGATGCTCTGAGTTATGATTCTTAAATTTCACTTGAATAAAGTTTTCCACTTCTTTTTAGATCGACTGATTCATGGCACAGGGGCTCAGCATTCTGTAGTGGATGTAGGGAACATCCACTTGGCTTGAAAGGGAAGAAAACCCCTTGGTAAGCTTTGGTCTTCCCACAGGGCACAGAACCAGAGGTGGCTGCAAGATCAGAGCCTGTGTGACCAATCCTGATGGTGCAGGACTTCTTCACATAAGGTACCAGGATCCCTGAGAAGGAGCTACAAATACCCTAAACTTCAAAGAAAAAACTGGAGTGTATGTTTTTCTGGCAAAGGGCCCTTCTCACAGATCCAAGAGTAGGTTAAAATCCTGAGCTAGAGAAAAGCACTAAGCCAGCTGCAATGATAAGGCGGCACTGGATATACCTAGAGCCAGCCTGAGAGCTTGCCAAGCTCTTGCTGAAGTTAGAACATGAACTCACGGGATAGACAACCAAGTACTATATTTGTGTGCTTTCAATTTTAATTTCAAGTTCTAATTTAATTTAATTCTAACTTCAAGTTCTTCCAAAAACAAGGTCCCAGGAAACCCCAGGTTCAACAGGCTCCTGGGCTTGGTCCACTGCTGTCTTGTATTCATAGCTAAGTGTCCATTCACCAAGAGTAAAGCCCAGGATAGACCTGATAAAAGAGGACTTCCTCCTTCATGGCATCAGTCCTTTGCTGGTTTCAGAGGTGGATGGTGGTCATCACAGAAAACACACAGGAACTTTTCCTTGAACTGAGGTGGGATGCAGTGCCTGCTGTGAACATCACCATGTTTCCTCTGACCCTTTCCTCCAGTTTCTGAAGATATATTCTAGCAGAAAACAATCTTCCTTGAAGATACTGAGTGACAATTCCATAAAACAAAAACACATGCTTCCAGTGCAGTTTTCAGGTANTGAGGAAGAAAAAACCACTTCATTAATACAAATGTACTGTAACCCTAACCCAAGCGTTAACCACAACAATAAAAGTCAGTTTTGAAGGATTAAGATTTCTTCAACAGAGGTGATGGTTTACACCTTCATATCCTTTTTGAAATCAGTTTTTATTCTCTCCATCTCCAGCTAAACGAACACAGCAACACAGAAGGCCTTCTCGTCACTCGAGTGTTTTCTATTCTGTAACTCACACAGCCCCATGTCCTAACCAGGCATTCACTGTTTCAAGTATCTCCATCCATTTAATCTGCGAGTACCTGCCACCTCCCACCCAAAGTTATTCTCATACACGTGTAAATGCAAGGGGATCTTTTAGGGGGCAAGGCCTGGCCCACCGAGAGCCCACCAAGGGGCAGTTTCAGCCCCACCTACCTGGGTTTAGTTCAGCTGCCGGATGAGCTGATTGATGCGTTCACCTCGATAGCCCGGCGAGCCCACTTCCTTAAGGAAGCCCACTCTGTTCTTCGTCGCGTGACGGGCCACTGAGAGTTGGAAAGGGCGCAGGAACCTTGAGATTGCCTGGAAGTTCTTCCCCGGGAAGGCAATTTCGTGAATGAGATCTTCCAAGCAAATGACATCAAACTTCCCTAAGAAACGTAAGATTCAGATTCCTGTATTTAGCACTTGCCCAGCACATACCGCAAGGCTCTGATATGCCAGAGCTCAGCACTCTGGCCAATTCTGGGGACCCTTTCTGCTGACTCCTCAGACGCTCACTCACCCAGGTGCTCCTCAATAACTGTGTTGTCTGTCAGAGGGATGACCTTGTTCTTGACCTTTGCTTGTCCACGTTTCAAGATAAGTTCCCGAACAGACTTCAGATTTGGAAATCTACAAGAGGCAGAATGAAGCTCAATCATAGCGCCACCCTGCCCCTGGCAGGCTGCAGTATGCTGGCAGTGCAGCCCTGTAGCCTGCTAAGGAGTCTCCCAACCCCTTCCCCAGGACTGTCCCCAACACACTGCGGCTGGGACACTTGGGAAGCATACACCCAAAGGAGGTGAAAAAAACCCACACAGACCCGACTATGTAATTAGAAATGTACAGATACAAACGCTCGCCAGGTAAAGATGTTTATTTCCCAGCAAAAATAAAGTCTTGGCTTATCATCTAGGACTCTGGCCTTATGTGACCCCTATTCAAGACTTTGAAAAAGTCTGAAATGAAATCCAAGTCTTTTTTCGGGTTTTGATGTTTGAAGGAATACTACCCTAGCTCTGCTTCAAGATTCCAAGAGTTAATCTCTTATCTTACTCAGCCTTAACCTACAGCTGACCAAGCCCTACCACAGCCCTGTTCAAACCGTTATGAGCTGTACCAGGAACCCCTGCTCTACCTGCTCCATGTTCCAAGATTCTTAAGCCCAGCAGTTGACCCCTGATGACTGTGGTCGTGGCACAACATTCCCCTGACCAGCAATGTAAGTGCTGGAGAACTGTACCCTGTGCGTCCCAACGTTCTCCAGTATAATGTAATGTGAATTCACACAAAAAACCATACTCACCCCCAGGTCACATAAGGTTCCACGATACGAAGCGTCTTTATGGTTTCAGGGGTCACTTTCACAAAGACACCACTGAAAATCTTACTCAGGCGAAGTCTGGCAATGGTCCTTTGCACCACTGAACTCACCCCATTAATCCTGAAATGAACAGCAAAGTCAGGCTCTGCCCAGCAAGCACCATGAAGTGTGTGCCACTAATGGGCACCCAGAGGGCAGGACACAGAGCGTGACTTACAGAGTTCAGCTGAGTGGGCAACAGCTGTGTAAACAGGCCATTTACCATGCTATGTGGGCACTGCCCGAGGTGCTACAGGAACAGAAATGCCCCTGGACTTGTACGGGGAGAGTTGTATGTGTCAAGCTAAGGACAATGAACTTGTGTCTGTGGGTATTAAAAGCTAGGGAAGATTTTAAGTAAAGGAGACCATTTTGACAATCACCAAAGACAGCATATAAAACAGAAACAAAGTGACACCAAAGTCTGGGAGGTTTAGCTAGAAAGCTGATGTGATGGTCCAGGAAAGAGACTATGGGCAATGAAAGCCAACTACACTCTAATTTTAAAAATACAAATAAAAGGTAAAAAAAAGAGAAGAGATTATGGGCAAGGGCAAGGATAGGAGGCTCACACATACTTAAAACCCACAGGTTTCTGGGACTTCCCTGGTGGTCCAGTGGCTAAGACTCTGTGCTCCTGATGCTAGAGGCCCAGGTTCAATCCCTGGTCAGGGAACTAGATCTCACATACCACAATGAAGATTGAAGATCCTGTGTGCTGAAACTAAGACCTGTTGCAGCCAAATAAAAACAAAACCCCAAGTTTCTGACTTTGGATGACTGGATCTGAAAGGAAAAGGTAATGCTGTATGTGCAGGTAAGAACGTGTAAGGTTATCGCTGAATGTGAAAAAGCTTTCTGTGCTCTCCCCAGCACTGACTATGCACCATCTGCTGGACCTTGGTTCAATTCCTAAGAAACCATCTTGATCCTACACTTGAACTTTCTGCATCTCTGCCTGGAAAGCTGCCCCCCAACCTTTTCACGTGAGCAGGCCACAGCTTCCTGCTTCAGAGTGTCCTAAACCACCACAGATCACACTGTGGCCCCCGTGTCCTAACATCCAGCGCTTTGCCTTCATAGCAATTAGTGTACTTTCATGTCTGTTTGCTTAATGGCAGTCTCCCCAATATATTTAGGTATTTTTTGGCTGCACCGTGTGGCATGTGGGATTCTTGGTTCCCCCACCAGGGATCAAACCTACCCTCCTGCGATGGAAGCAGAGTCTTAACCACCAGACCACAAGGAAAGTCCCAATCTCCCAAATCTGTTTTTTTTTTTTTCTTTCCAAAACCTGGATAACTTTAGTAGAAGTCTTTATTGAATTTATTACAGTATTGCTTCTGTTGTATGTTTTGGTTTTTTGGGTATAAGGGAGGTGGAATCTTAGTTCCACTGATCAAACCCACACCCGTTGCATTGGAAGGTGAAGTCTTAACCACTGGACCTCAGGGGAAGTCCTCCAGTCTCCCTAATTTTGAAGACAAAATCTGTTTTGCTTAGCTCAGAATTCCTAGCACAACTTGCCTTAAGGGCTTAAATCTCATCTCCCTAAAAAGGCTCTAAAGCTGAACAAATGATTTCCCCAGCCTCATGGAATCCACCAAGTTCCCTACCTTTCAATGCGTACAACAAAGGCCAAGGAATGTTTGTCTGGCACTTCGAAGGCATGAGGTTTCACTTTTAGCCGTCTGAGTCGCACTCTGTCCCGAAGCTGCCGCCAGGAATCATGTACAAACCATTCTAGTCGCTTAAACTTGACTTGTTTTCCTTTCCTCTGCTACAGAGAAGGTAGACCATCATCACCATTTTTTTTGCCTCTGTAGTCATCTTTTTCTTTCACAACGGTAATTCACTAGTCACTATTCATAGAGCTTATCGCCCCTATGCTCTGGAAAGGGGCACAAACAAACATCCTCCGTTTTTGTTTTTTTTTTTTAATTTTAACTTATTTTCTGACTACATCTCAGCATGCAGGATCTTAGTTCCCTGACCAGGGATTGAACCCGTGCCCCCTGCAATAGAAGGGAGGATTCTTAGCCACTGGAATGCTACGGACGCTCCCTCTATTCTTATATAATGAAAAAACAAGATCGACAAAAAAGAAGTGGAGAAAACTTGGGAACTATTGGGAAAAGTCCCTGATAAACAAAAAAAAGCAATTTACATGCTGTCAATGTTTACCATCATGTGTTTAGGGACCCTAACACTGTGTTAGGCATCATAAACTGCCTCCAAAATGTATTTCTCCAAAATCATGTAGCAAATAGCAAAAATTGTACAAAATTGGTACATTATACCTTCCATAACCCAACCGATGGGGGAAGAGGCCATCGGTACCAAGTCGACTTCAACACGTACCGGATACAACTCAAACAAACTCTAATTCCCTCCACCTGGTTCCCCACCATTACCTCCTTCCTTTGCAAAAGCGCCTGTTTTGCCTGGGTGGCTTTGAGGGCCTGATAAGCCTTCCTCTTTTTCAGGAGATTCTCTGGAACCAAAGGGATCTTTCTTCTTGGTCTGATACAGAAAATGGAGACCAGCGATAGTACTTAAGAAACAAATATGGACCGGATTTCCAAAAGATATGCCGGGCCTAGGGAAACACTATCTTCAAATTCGTAAGGGCTGTGGCCCGTCCGAAATCTGTGGTTTCTAACGCTCGCCCTCAAAATGGACCCCTCACATTTCCTAGGACCCAAAGCCTTAATACGGAGAAGGCAAAAGCACCCCACTCCAGTACTCTTGCCTGGAAAATCCCATGGATGCCTGGTAGGAGCCTGGTAGGCTGCAGTCCATGGGGTCGCTAAGAGTCGGACACGACTGAGTGACTTCACTTTCACACACTGGAGAAGGAAATGGCATCCCACTCCAGTGTTCTTGCCTGGAGAATCCCAGGGACGGGGGAGCCTGGTGAGCTGCCGTCTATAGGATCACACAGAGTCGGACACGACTGAAGTGACTTAGCAGCAGCAGCAGCAAAGCCTTAATAAGTCACGAACCCTACAGCCACTGGTCCTCATATACGTCAACGGAGCTTCTACTGCCACGGCTTTATAGACACTATCAGCGATGAGATTCCGCCCCGTGGAGTTGGGTCGCGTGCAGACCCAGCTACGGAAGTAACACTTAAGCACAGCTGGGAGAACCCAGCCTGCTCTCAGTCCGCTGCCCGAAAGTCAATCCTCGCCCCCTTGAGAAGACCCGAGCTCCGCGGCGGCCCCCTCTGCCCACCCACACCAACCCCTACGGCGCCTCACTCCTCCCTCTGTAATCTGAAGCCTTTCCTAGTCTCTTCTTTCAGTCCACAAATACCCCTATTTTCCGCCAGCGAGAAAGAAACACTGTGGATGGCACCGGATGCTCAAGAAGCCACGCCAGAAATACATCTCCCCAAACACTTACTCTTCCTCCGCCATCTTTCCAACGCGGCAGCTACTACTCATGCGCAGTTCCACCCCGCAGTGACGAGAAAGGCATCTCTATGTTTACTTGATCATAGAGACGTCTACTCTAGCTCAAGGCGGGGGCGGGCGGGGCGGCCCGGGCCGTTTTAGTAGTAGTAAACCGCTGAGGTTTTGCTAGCCTTGATTCCAGCCAAAAGTTACACAAAGCTTCCTTCGCACTTCTTGGAAGCTTTTCGGAGCCGTGTCATCTTCAGAATCTAGTCCTATCCATTCCAGGTGTACTCGCTTAGTGCTGGAGGCCGGGATGTAAATAAACAACGAGACGCTTCCCACAATGCACTGACTTCCGGTGGAGGGTGGGCGCTGGGCCTCCGGTTTCCGCTCGTTGCGCTACGCGTCTGCGTGGCTGAGTGGGGAGAGCTGGGTGGGGCTACGGCTTTGGCGCTCTCGTGTGGGTAAAGATGAATAAGAACCGTTTGGGATGGTGGAAAAACGCCGCTGTGATTACGTCGGCCTGGCTCCATCAGTGGATCTCTGAGGAAATTCTTTGACCCCTGTGTCCCTGTCCCTGAGTTTCTTTTACCCATAGATAGACATAATGGATCTTGCCTTATTACTAGCCTCAGGCGAGTTATATGAACTACTCCATCTAAAGCTCAGCACAAAGTCTGGCGCTAAGCGAACTTTAACACTGTGTTAATTGTTACTGGTGCTGAGCCGAAAACTAGAAATTCCAACTTACTATCTCAGGACCTTCCCTCATACAGCTTTTACCGCCTGGAATATGCTTCCTTCTTTTCTGGTCTTCATAAAACAATGAAAACTCACGTCTTGTCTCTTCTGGAAACCTTACGAGCAGCGTGTCTCAGACATTAATGTGCATAGGAGTTACCCGAGGATGTTAAAATGCATGTTTTTTATTCAGCAAGGGGCGGGAATCAAGACTCTACATTTTAAACATGCTTCAAAGTGATACGGGTGCTTCAGGCCTGAAAACTACACTTTGACAAGTAAGGTTCGTGAGTAGTCTCTGTCTTGAATTCTATCAGGAAGCTGTTATATTTTTAACATCTCTTCCCTATGATACTTGGAGAACAGAGATCATGCCTGCTTTGCTCATCACTGATCTAAGGGTCGTAAGCACAGGTTTTTCAGTATCAGCACTACTGGCATTTGGGGCCAGAAAATTCTTTGACAGGACAGGGACAGCTGTCCTGTGCATTATAGGATGTCTAGCATCCTCAGTTGTGACAAAAAAAATGCTCCAGGCGTTGCCACATGTCTAGCATAGTACATATATTTATCTTTCAAATATATATATTTGAATATATATATATTTGTGACAAAAAAGAAAAAAATGCTCCAGGCACTGCCACATGTCTGCACAGCAGCCCACCAGGCTCCCCCATCCCTGGGATTCTCAAGGCAAGAATACTGGAGTAGGTTGCCATTTTCTTCTCTGCCACATTTCTAGCATAGTACATATATTTATCTTTTAAATATATGTATATATATTTATCTTAAGGTCTAAAGCAGTGTCATTATTTGACAGCACCTAACCAGGTAGCACTGGTGGTAAAGAACCGGCCTGCCAATGCAGGAGACATAAGAGACACGGGTTTGATCCCTGGGTTGGGAAGATGCCCTGGAGGAGGGCATGGCAACCCATTCCAGTATTCTTGCCTGGAGAATCCTTATGGACAGAGCACCTGGGGGGCTGAAGTCCATAGGGTTGTACAGAGCTGCACAGGACTGAAGCGACTTGCAGGCACACACTTGCAGGCATATCCACAGATATTATCCTGTATTGTTTGCCTTATTGTTTCCCTGAGTAGATTGGGTTCTCTGAAGGCTGAGAACTTGTCACATACTCCTCTGAGTCTTCTACAGCACCTCTCAAAACAGTGGATACCTGCAGGGACTTATTAACCATCTAAGCTCAAAACATCATTTTGGTAAGTGCTATGTAACTATTAATAGTTCAACCATAAGGTGCCATGCACAGAGCTCAGTACCTGATGAATAAATGTCAAAGGACAACATGGTCTTCAGAATCACAGACTGTGGTGTGAGGCTCATTTTTACTTGCTCTTTCAGCACCTCACCATGTGTCTTACTTTGTGGAAAGGCAGAAACAGAAAGGCCAGAAAACTATGAAACATCTATTACATAGTAAGCAAGAAACAAAGTAAATGTTTTGTGAGTTCCCCTCTACACATAAAAGATAGGTTCTGTGGTACTAAAGGTTCTTTCAGAGGTGTTAGTAATACATAACACCTCTAGCTGAGACTTGGAGGCCAGAAGTCAGGAGAGGCTTTCCAGGGCCAGCAGATGGTGCTAGCACAACACTTATTCTCAGACCCAAAGCCATCATTCCACCAGACTGATCCAGTGAAAAAGAGATGGCCTACTTCTCAAGCCTAAAATGTTTACTGACTACATGTTTATAGTGAATTGAGTATATGCCCTGAGCTCTGGGCAAGAGATTTTTTACTTGAAACAGGTTCCTGAATGAGAATGGGGCATAGCCATATACAGCCTTTAGAATCTGATTCTTTATAGCCAGACCTCATAGGCCTGTTTTATTTTTTTCTTGACCATTTCAGTTGTCCATCATTAGGGAATGGTTAGAACAATTTATGGAAGACTATGCAATTATTGATATATGCAGAGAGGTAGGTCTTTATGTCCTGAAATCTCTGGTATTTTTTCTTTTTTGGCCTACTGACCTCCATCCCCTTTTCTCTTGTGGGCTGAGTGAGCTCTCCTTCATCGTGTACAGTCTTTGGAGGGTGGGGCATCAAATCCAAACACACTTGACCTCCCAATACATCCATTGAAGGGGTTTCTGGAACATCTTTTCAACTCCCACCTGCCCATAAGACCCTCACCTTCTCTTCTCCAGATTTTGAATCTTCAACAGAGTGATGATGGAAGAAACAGAATTAGTCCAGGGCAAGACTTCTAAGGATTTCTATCTCCTAAGGCCTCCTGGAGTTTTCTTATTCCTGTCTTTCTCAAGTCTTCAAGTTCTTTTGTTTTTGGAATTTGACCCCCAAATACTTTTTTTTCTGGTTAAAGTGAGAATTTTTATTTATTTTTTCTCCATGCTGTTTGGTTTGAGATATTTTAGTTCCCTGACTAGGGATCAAACCCCTTGGCCCCTGCAATGGAAGCACAGGGTACTAACTACTGGATTAGCAGAAAATTCCCTTAAGTCTTCAAGCTCTTCAATCTTCCCTTTCATCTTTATCCTTCCTATAAAACTTTATGCTGTTACTGACCAGAAGGGTTTCTGTTATGTAAAACCAAAGAATCCTAACTATAAAACTCCCAGACATTTGGCTACATTTGAAAAATTAAGATACAGAATAGAGTAAGAAGCATACACAGGAAAGTGTGAGCTGCCCTGGTGGCTCAGAAGGTAAAGAATCTGCCTGTGATGCAGGAGACCTGGGTTCAATCCCTGGGTTGGGACATGGCAACCTGCTCCAGTATTCTTGCCTGGAGAATCCCCAGGGACAGAGGAGCCTGGCAGGCTACAATCCATGGGGTTGCAGAGTTGGACACGACTGAGCAACAAACACACACATAGGAAAGTGTTGACGGAGGTTATTTTGGGGAAATGGGAATAGGGCCTGGAATAGGAGAAAGACTTACACTTTGTGGTGTGCCCTTTGTTTATTACTTATGTATTAGTTTAAGAAAGCACTCTCTGGGTAATTAGATTCTTGTGATTTGCCTGTTTTAGAAACCACTTGACTATATGTTTGTTTTTTAGGACTCCTTGCAAGGGACTTCCCTGGCGGTCCAGTGGTTAAGACACAAGTGCAGGGGCACTGATTAGATCTGATGGGGGAACTAGGATCCATAATAAAAAATTCAGAGCCAACATTCTGTGGTTCTCTGAATTGGCTCTGGGATTCCTTTCCTTATATCTGCGTTTTGGGATTATTTTTAATCATGTCTTCTCAATAAGGCAAAAGCATCACACCCCACACACCCAAAAGTGGGCCCAACTTGCAATTTCCCATCCACCCCAGACCTCTTTCTCGGATTAGGGCCCTCCTTGTAGTTGACTTTGTTTCAGGAGTTCCTGCTCGCCTCCTCAGAGTGCCATGGGGCCTCCAGGCGGCAGGTGGGAGAGAGCAAACACGTGAGCCTGGAGTTGGGAAAGACAACATGGACAACAGCTTTAGGTCCTGATAAACAACGAGCAAAGGGACCAAAAGTGAAAGGGGAAAAGGAGAGAACTGGCGGAGGGCGGCAGCCTCCTGAGGGTCGACGGTAGACACCGGAGAGCTGAGGGGGTGGGCAGAGACTGTGCTGTAGGTAAGACCAAATGCAAAACAGAACCACCCAGACCTCTTGTGAATTATTCTGGGGATAAAGGAACTTTAGGTTTTCCCTTCCACATTCCCTGAAGACTTCATTTTACACCTTAAAAAGTGGAGGATCAGGACAAGTCTTCCCAGTTGACAGGCAAGGAAGCAAAGGATGACAGTAACTTGCACGAAGCTGTCTGATGACAGTTTAGGTGAAGTCCTGGGGCCTATTCCCAGGTTCTGCTGCTAAAGACACTTGCTGTGCCCACCCGCTCCCACCTCCCATTGTACCGCTTTCCTTGACCTTCACACATGATTTGCTCCAGCACATGCCTACAAGGAATACAGATCAGGGACTCATGAAGGCCTTTTAACCTGCAGTAGTGTAGATACATACAGCCTATTCACTTTAGCCTGTATGTATCCTTTATAATCTACTTGATAGTGCAAAGGTGCTCCTACAGTTTGTGTGTCTGCTGAACCAGATTTCTCCATATAGTTAACACTACAAAATTCCTCTATCTTCATTCATACAAAAAGTATCATACTTATTTTTTCTTAAACGTACCTCAGGAAATTGCACTAAGAACCATGGAATTAAGAGGGGCATGGGAATATAGATCATGGCTCTCTACCAAGTGGAGATCTGGAAAAATTTTAGCCCCAAGTTTCTTTTCTCTTGGAATGTAGCTATTTATGGACTTGTTTCCTCTCTAGACTGAGCTCCTTGAGTACAGACATCACACCTGAGTGATCTGTAGACCCCCAGGGTTTAGCACATTGCCTGCAAACTCCTCCATAGTTTGATACTTAATGCCAGATGCCTGGGAGTCCTCCCTCTGTCTATGAAGCTGAGCCAGAGCTCAGATCCAGTGCCACAGATATCCTGCCTGAACGATGCTGCTTCTGTGCCCCAAGATGGTAGAGTTTCTTTCCTTTCCCTTCCCGTTCCCCCAGTAACTCCCTGGCTACTCTCCCACATCAGATAGTGCTAGGGCCCCTTTCCTGGGACGGGGCCTCTCATACACAGGGCTCAGGGCTCTCACCATCCTAAGAGCTTTTTCCTCTGTGCGTGCTCCCGTGCAACACACAGATTTCAATCCTAACCAAGTAGCCAGATGATCCTTCTCTTTATTCACGGGGCACACCCCCTGCAAATGGGCGGAGGAGGGGCAAGCGTGTCATGTTGGACACATATCTGTCCTTAGCAAGGGGAGAAGCTCGACAGCAGGACACCACTGCGGAAGACATTAAGGGATCCATCCACTGATGTCATTATTCTAACTTCTGTTAAGATAGAGGAGAATGACTTCCTCTTTATATATTGATTACTGAGGAATCTTGCTATCCCAACTGCTACCACCTAATGGGTGGGGAAGGGAGCCATTAAACCATAAAGTAAGGAGGCTATGTATAAATTCTAGGCCCCAAAGAAAAAGGTAAGCAGTCTTAGACCCTTACTCCACGAAGTTTCCACTCTGGTAGTTTTCCTGACCATTTTGGTAAAGTTACACTTGGGAGGGAGGCCAGGAATCAGAAGTGCCCCTGGGGCTGACTTTATAGATATAACAGGGGTTATTTCTCAATATAATTTGGTCAAATGTGTGAATCCAAAGGGAAACGTGTTTATTCTGGAACAAGTCTCACGTCAAACAGTTGTTAATCTTTTTCATTTTTTTTTTAATCTTTTTCATTTTTTACCTATCCCTTAGCCTTCTTGTCCCTGCAGAAACAAAAGAAATATAATGACTAAAGGAAATTTCTTGCAGATTCAGACCCTTTTATCTAACCTTCAAATGACCTCATTTTTCCTTCTTTAGTTAAGGGCCCATGTGGCAGGAGTCCTGGGAGGGAGGCCTGACATGTACATGACTAAACTTGCTTACTGACCAACTTTAATTGGCAACTGTTTGGAAAGGCTGATCAATTAAAATCCTACCCCTTCACTGGCAGAGCTAGTTTTGGGTAATAGGATTTAATAACAGAATGCCCGTTGGACACTTACTTACCCTTTTCTTCTGGGAAAAGCAGCCATTCTTCTTTGCAAAATCAAGACAATCACAGTTGCACATTTTCCCAAATCTTTGGCTGTATTGCAATGGTTGTTTCATTTTGTAATCTCCAACTAAACATTTCCTAACCATGGATTAACAATATAGTTACTGACTGGTTTCTTTTAACAGTATTTATCCAACATAACAAAATAAACTGCAATTTGTTATACTTTTTTTTACAAAACATTTTATAAATATTTTTACAAAATGTATACAAAGCAATTTCAAGTGAGACATACTATACAAATGAAGGTATTTAAGCAAATAAAGCCCACACCACACTGACAGTGAGTGACGCGTCCTCTTTAAGTCAAGTCAGTCTGTAAGGCCTCCCTAATCTAACAAAGTCTACTAAATTCTTCAGCACTAAAATAGTTCTTTTTCGTAATTGCCAGTTTAAAATTTGCTTTATCTTTAGGCAGTACTTAAGGACACAGAAAATCAAATGCTTAATAACAAATTCACACTCTTCCACAACAACAGAAAGAAAAAAAAAAAGAAAATGATTTTTGTTACTGAGTACGAGTAGCTCTAAAACTTAACTTTGACTAATGAACCTTAACAACTGAATGTTGGCCATCCGAGGCTGAGCTCTCACCCTCCACCAGAGGGGCCTCGACATGCGAGTTATGACCTAATCACAGGAATAAAATACATTTCGTAATCGTCATTTGTCATTATCTAGAATCTTTCCTCCGTTAAAAGTAAACTTACATACAAGGACACAAAAATTTACAAGTTTCATTTTGGTAAATTAGGCTCTCCGTTTTCTAGACAAGTGTCAAGTCTTTAAAAATCCCTTTAAGATGGTATATTGAAAAGCTGGGACTGGGGTAGCAGGGCAGGGTAGGGAAGAAGAGAGGTGACAAATACACATGAATCTATCTTGTCTCTTAAGAATTCCACTGATTTGGTAATTAATGTAACTCATTAGTAGCCTCCAAGAAGGCTTCCAGGTATAAATTTCCACAATGAGAAGAATTTGATCAGGAGGAACCACCTTTAAGTCTTGCTAGTAATTAGGGGAGCATGAGCCCTAAAAGAAGAGCCTGTGACATCAAGGGGTTCAGAGCAGGGTGTTACCCCAGGGCTGCCCAAACAGAAAGTTCCAACTGGCAATACCAACTTATCTTTCTAATATGTTACAATATGGGGAAAAAGGGGAAATTTGCAACTTGGGACATTGGCACAAATAAGGAAAACATGGCAACCGTGAAATGGCCCAGATTTTCCGGTTTCTATTGGCTCAGGGGTGGGAGTGGGGAGAAGGTATTTTGCTTTTGTGAATCCTGGCGGTCTCCCAGGATTTCTCTGTGTGTTGGGGGGTGGGGCACTCAGGGGCAGGGAGAGTCTAGGTCTTCTGTTGTTGTGTTTTATAGCAATCAGAAGCCCTCCTTTCCATTGCCGGCCAATTCAGAAAAGAAATGCCCAACATGATGACAGGGGGTTGTCCTCATTTTGGGGAAGGCCAGAAGTAGATCTTGGCAACGTGTTCGAGTGAAGACCAGTGGGAACTCCTCTAAAGCCAGAGAGGTGGACAGAAGAGATGAGAGCCTGTCCACATAAGAGGGAGGGTGACTGTGTACATGCTGTAGCCAAAATAACCTCTGTACCTGAACAGCCCAGACACACGCACACACGTATGTCAGACAGTGCACACGGAATGCCACGTGTAGCGTTCCCAGTGCTAGGGGACACTGACGGTTGCAGTGATCTTGAGAATGAAAGGGACGACAGAAATGGGAGGACCTGGGGCAGGTGTACAAGAAAGGAAAATAGGGAAAGCTCCCTGAAAAGAAATATAAATAAATAAAGCAATAAGTCACATCGATGAACATGAACATGGGCCAAACAGAAACTGTGACGGGGCGTGTCCTTTGGCTCTCCAGTGGGCATCCGGGTCTCAGATCTTTCCTTCAGTGGTGGGCTGGCTGGTTACCTTTGGTTTGTCTATGTTTTGGTAATGATTGCTGCCGGGGGGTGTGACTACTGTTCTCAGACAACAAGAAGCAGAAACAAGGCCAAAGTCCCCTTAACATTTAAACTGAAAAATTATAACACAGTTTTCAAATGAAAGTGCTTTTGACGCTTGGCTATTTGTTGTGGGAGGGGGTGCAAAGAGAGGTTGAATGAAACAAAACCCAGCAACCAACAGAAACATACATTGTATGTTGACGAGATCCAATTGTAGAATGCAAAACGCTTGTTTTTTTCTCAACAGTGAACATAATATATATGCTTTTACATATATACATATTATATTCCTCAAGGCTCGATCCTGGCCTCCCCCATACACGTGCCACTTATCTAGTTTCCATTTTTCCTTTATTTTGCCTGGTGAGATTATCTCAAGTCATGCTGTCGCAACTCAAAACAAAGTTTTCCCTAGATGAAATTCAACGTGGATATGCTGAAGAGGTGAGCTTTTGCTCAGGGGGCATCAGAAAAGCACTTGGATGAACAGGAAGCCCTGCTGTGCGCTCCAGGTGCTCAGGCCGGGGCTGTGGGTCCCAGCAGAGCAGCCGGGGCTAACTGCTCACAGATGGCCGGGGGGAGAGCCGTGCGGTCTCCTGGCCCATGACCACCCCGAGACCCACCCCCCTCAAAGCCCAAATTTGGAGATACAGTGGGGATATTCTTTAAAAAGTATCTTCTAACAGTCCTGTTTGATTTTCTGTAATAAAGTCTGTTCTTTTCAAATGACTTATGATTGTCAGAATTTTACCTAGGGCCAAGTGTACTGTGATCTCATTGAATTACAGTGTTTGGGGAAAAAACAAAAACAAAAAAATGACGATAAGCACTTTGAAAACACTTGAAATGTATAGGGCCTATCAGACTGCTTTCTAGTAACGATCAGCTTTACTGAAAGATCTCCCTGTAACCACGAGTATTGCTCTTAAACAAAGAATGGGATTGAAATTAGAAAGAATAACCTGTGATGAAAGATCAAGCAGGCTGGAGACAGGAGACCGTTTCCATTGCTTTTGCCAGGAAAGAATGTAACTTGTCCGGGGCGGGGTCTCGGGGCGGGTGCAGGGAGGACTGCGCTATTAACACTCTAGGATACTATTTACAGCTGCTTCTAAAATAGAGTCAGTTTCTACGACGCCTTCACTGTGGTCCGGGATGAACTTTTCCAGGCAGTTTTCCTGTGAAGCCATTGGAGAAAAGTTGGGGAAATCTAACTCGACAGAGCCGCTAACCGTGGGGTCACTCTGGGACTGCCGCCCAGCCTTTTTGAGTTCCAAAATGTTCTTAAATGTCGTTTCTAAACTCTTAGTGAGCTGGAGATCGGGCTGGGGCTCGCCTGATCCCTTCATGATGTCTGTGTGTAAAACTTCATTCTTTGGAGAATTCCGCAGTGTCTTGTCCTGGAAGGAGCTATTACAGGTCATCTCCAGGTGCGAATCTACGAGGAGGCTTGAGAGTTTGCTGTCAGGACCGTGATCTGCTCTGGATAAGTTTTTCCGGTGGCCTTCAGGGCCGGGGGAGCACTCGCTGCCTTTTGTGGAGTCTCTCCGGCTGGTTTTCTCTTCAGATGCGCTCCGGTACTGAGCAGAGCCCACTCTGTCAAATTTCAGTGCTCTGCCGAGGCAGTCGGTTTTTTTAGAAATGTTTCCTTCTGCGGAGACCACGATGTGATTAGGCACTAGATGAAACTGGTCATGATTCGTTGGTTCTGCCAGGCCTGCTTTGCCTCGGTCTCTGCTCTGGGCCTTGGCCGTCAGATGCACAGAACTTGTTGTTTTACCACCATGCTGGTCACTCCGGCCGAACTGCGTCTCATGGGCAGCTTTATCGAGTTTGAAGGAACAACAGAAATCAGCCTGAAAACCCTCTGAAATTAGGAACGAAAAGAACGTTAATGAAAGAAGGAGACAGTGAGGACGAGACAGCAGCCCCTCAGTGGATCAGGTGCAAACTGCCCCACCTCACCCTCTAAGTCAGTCGTTCACGTCCAGGAACGTGCAGAAGCACAGTTGGAGGGTGTCCTATAAAAGCAACCTGTAAATGATAATATGGAAGTGGGAACCAGAAGGGGAAGAAAACTTGTAGGAGTAAAAACATTCATAGGATGGTGAAAATATGGGTGAAAATCCATACTCCACAAATTTTTATAATGTTATTGGATTTAAAAATTTCAGAGGCTAGAAAATAGTATGGAGAATACTTTTTTTTCTATTTTTCAGCCATACCGTGTGGCATGCAGGATTTTAGTTTCCCAATCAGGAATAGGACCCATGCCGCCTCCACTGGCAGGCAGATTCTTAACCACTGGACCACCAGGGCAGTCCTGAGAATCCATTTCTAAAAGACGGGATGTAGGTTGACACTAGCATGATGCAAACGGCAGGGAGCTGATGGGGTGTTCAAATAGTACCCACAAGGAGCGCTACCATCCATTAGCTTATGGGCAGGGACTGGGCCTCACTGACTCCCCACAAGGCCTGGCACACAGTAAGACAACTCAATAATTGACTGAGGTTTAGTTGCTTCTGGGAAGGCTTCTGACTTACTTTAGTTCTCAAAAACTAGAGAAAGATTGAGAAGTGCTGAGTTTACAGGAGAGAAGAAGATTCAGTTAACCGAATGTAAAATTCCAGTTTGGATTTTGCAGAACATTGACCTTCTCAGAGGATTCATATCCTGCTCTCAACTCCAGATTTTTTCTCCCTGGAATCCAGGATCTACCTTCAGGTCTCATGTCGCAAGGTCAGTTCAGAAAGTCTCCCCAAAGCCACAGCCCCGGAACCCTTGCAGGAGCGCTCCTTGGCTTTCACTCTGACATTTCTTACCGGGGTCTACGAGTGCCAGACGCTTGTCCCGGGACAGAGAAGCTCTTTCCTCCTGGTTGAACATTCTGTCGATCATCACCATCTCAGCGGAGGGGTTGATCCGCTAAAAATGAGAGAGTCTAGTCATTTCAGATGCCTTTTAACAACTGCGAACATCTTGCTGCATTTGGGGGACAGAGGAAGCAATCAGAGAAGAAAATGTGTTTATCATTGACATATTTTTTAAAATTGTATTTTTTGGGAAAAGGTTATTTATTTATTTATTTATTTATTTATTTATTTTTTGGGAAAAGGTTATTTATAACATTGATACAAACTTCAAAAGGTACTAAAAGGGGATGTGGAAAGTAAGCCTTCCTTCTTTACCTGCCCTGTGCAATGCCTTGCCCACCCACCCAGGGCCCTCTCTGGAGGTACCCTCTGTCAAGCAGTTTAACAAACTCTTCCAGAGATATTTTATGCACACACACACATTATTCATTCTCAATTTTTTGCACACAAATTACAAGCAACGATATGCACTATTCTCTGCTTATTTCCTCTTCTGCTTAATAACATGTTGGAAATCTTATTGTTCAGATACTCTTTTACTTTATATTTTGCTATGCTATTTCTGTGTTTTCTTTTGGCCTTGCAGCACAGCTTGTGGGATCTTAGTCTCCTGAGCAGGGATTGAACCTGGGCCATGGTAGTGAAAGTGCAGAGTCCTAACCACTGAACCGCCGGGGAATTCCCCTATGATCGTGTTTTGTATTACGGCTTTCCTTAGAATTATTTCATGCTGTACAGAATCAAATCTTATTTATTCTTAGTTAACATAAAAATCATGGCAGACATAATTTGTCCAAATAATTAGTCCATTTGTCCAAATCTGTCCAAATGATCCTTTTCTCATGAATGACAGAGTTAGTCTTTTTGATATCTGTTTTATTACAGAAATGATTGTCAAAGTAAGAACAACTGTTTCAGACTTTGGTGGCACAATTTAAAATAAATATATATAGGTTACAGGCATATCTCGTTTCATTGTGCTTTGTAGATATTGCACTTTTTTTTAAACAAATTGAAGGTTTGTGGCACCCCTGCATTGAGAAAGTCTATTGGCACCATTTTCCCAACAACATTTGCTCACTTCATGTCTCTGTGTCATGTTTTGATAATTCTCCCAATATTTCAAATCCTCTGGCAGCAAAAAGATTACAATTCACTGAAGGCTCAGATGATGGTTAGCATTTTTAAGCAATAAAGTATTTTTAAATGAAGATATACATATTTTTGTTCTGGACACAATGCTATTGTATACTTAACAGACTGTAGTATAGTGTAAACATAACTTTTATATGTACTAGGAAACCAAAAAGTTCATGTGAATAACTTTACTGTGATAGTCATTTTATTGAGATGGTCTGGAACTAAACCCTCAATATCTCTGCGGTATGCCTATATATATATATATACATACACACACACACACACACACACACACACACAAACACAAACATACATACATACATATTTACACTATCCTGTATACATATATAATGTAATTCACCTATTCTTCAAAGGTAAATTTTCAAAGCTGATTTCAAATTAAAAGCCAGCTGTGGACTCCCCTGGTGGTACAGTGGATAAGAATCCCACCTGTCAATGCAGGGAACATGGGTTCAATCCATGGTCTGGGAAGAGTCCCACATGCCTTGGGGAACTAAGCCCACATGCTGTTAACTACTAAGCCTGTGCTCTAGAGGCTGGGAACTGAAACTACTGAAGCCCACGAACCCGAGACACGAGAAGCCACTGCAATGAGAAATCTGCACACCACAACGAGAGAGTAGCCCCTGCTTGCTGCAACTAGAGAGAAGCCAGTACATAGCAACTAAGACTCAGCGCAACAACAAAAAAAGCCACTTGTAAGAGACCAATTTATTAGTCTGTATGATTTTAGAACTTCTTCTAAAATCTCAGATAGACTTGGGCTTTCCATCATTTTTGGAGCTATCTTACTCCTTTCTCTAATTTGCTGTGCTTTAAAATAAATTTTAGTTTCTATTTGGAGGGCTGAAAATGCTCTGAAATTAGGGAGTGCTGATGGCTGCATAGTCTGTGAACATATTAAAATCCATCAGGTGGTACATTTTAAAATGAAGCATGATTTTTATGACTTTAATGATCAACTGAAAACAAGACAAAATTAATTTTAATGTCTGTCACCTCATCTCTTAGGATATTATTCTGAACACCCTTCAGCAGAAGCGCCACCAGTCCGCTCCTGCCTCTTTCGGTTGATGAGAGGCAGTGGACGGCATTGGAGTATGGAGGGGGTCAGGTGGTCCTGGTCTGAATCCCAGCTCTGCTAAATACAGAGCAAACTTACTGGCTATGTGGCATCTGGCAAATTACGTAACCAAGCCCCAATTCCTCACTTGGAACCAGGAAAACAATGGCAGAGATTGAGAGTGATCAGTCATGGAAAGCACAGCGCTTGTATTTGGGTCGGCCAATAAGTTTGTACGGAAAATGTACAGAAAACCTGAGCAAACTTTTTGGCCAACCCACAGCTGCTGTTAGTAGTAGGTGCAGGCGAAAGCAAGTTTTTCTACAATTCTAAGTATCTGTTCCTTTTCAACTATGGTGGGAAAATGTAGTTCCTTGAAGTTTTTGTATCTGAATTAGTAGCTGTGACCTGTGGAGTTTAAGAAACAGACTGTGCTCAGTGGAACTTTACCATGGCGTCCTCCAAGAGCAGGCATCTGTACTTGTTAAGCATAGCTTGGGTCCTTTTCAGGAGCTGAGTGGCGACTGTTTCAAATTCATTGTCAACTTTAAAAAGAGAGAGAGAAAAAAAATAGTAAGAGAGCGCACATCAACCACTAGGTTCTTCATTTCTCGCTTTTCTCTCTGAGTTTAGCTCTTCCTTGGTTAGACATGATGCTTCTGCATGGCTTTCCCTTACTGTTCACTGGCATGTGCTCTCAGAAACTCATTTTAATACTAGCTTGTTTTAACTCTGATTAGGAAACCAAAAACATAACTCCTTTAAGATTATCTATGAAAGAAAACCACGAAACACAGAACAGGAGCGAATATCCATGAACAGAGAATCATCTACTAGCTCAGGTCACCAAAGCCTCCACTTCCTTCCAAAGCATGAAAATCTGAAACCATTGAGACAATGAGGTCCTACTGTCTGGGCTGGGCAGACCAGGTTCCCGTAACCACACCAACTAGTCCACAGAATCTCGCAGGTCATGGTCTTGTGGCTCTGTCCTTTGTCTCCAAAGGTCTCACAGTTTCCACTTCGCTCTTCTCAGAGCCTCCACATCCCTATTTTATGCTGGATGAGGATGAAAAGCACCCTGGCCCTCCCAGGGAAGCTCTCAGTGGGCTGATGGCTGTGCTCCCGTTAGAGACCCTGGCCGGAGGGACAAGTCTGCGGGCAGCTGGGGGACTGACTCAAGCAGCGGAGGGGGCCTAATGGGGTCCAAGCTGGGAACGGTGGTGGGAAGGAGAGTAGAACTGGGCAGCATGGCTGGGAGAGGCAGCAGGGCCAGGCATCGTAATGGGCTGAGCTCAAGGTGGGATAAGAGGACATTACCTCTAAACATTTTGCCAGTTTCTGGATGTGGAGCAGTGCCTTGGACTGCCTTTGGAACCTCAAAGCTTTTGGAGGGCTACAGGATCTATCTAATTCATAAAGGTGATGCTAACAGCTCAGGGTATATGTGCACTCAGCCTAAATGCAAGGACTGTGCCTGAATCACCGTGCAGAGCACGAGCCCAGGGCTGTCCCACCTGCAGCCAGAGTCCCGACAATGTTCTGCATTCACTGCCCTCAAACTTGCCCATAAAATATCCAGACATTTGGGTACCCCTTCACAGAATGCTGAGAAAAATAAGTCACAATGCTCAACATGAACTGGGAAACCAAGTAAATTGGGAAGACGGCAGGTCTGCGATGAAAAAGAGTAACCCAGCGACCACCTGGGGGCACCGTGCCTCGGGTTCTCCTGTGGGGCGTGTCCCCGGCAGGCGGCCTGGGGGCAAGGTGGCACTCTGGGGCTCCAGCCTGCTCACCTTTCTTCAGGTCCTCCTCCGTGGGCATGGAGCCCTGGCACACGTGATAGGAGAGCAGCCTCTGCACCGCGTCACTAAGTGACCGGAACTGGCTTTTGTCAGGCGTCACCGCAAGGGCTTGGTCCCTCTGTAACTGCTGGAGAATGCTGTCAGAGAGAAATTGCCCATGGCTGTGTTGAGTCGTGTCAAGAAATCTAATCACAAAAATTCGCATGCAAAGACAATGAGACGCCCAGGGATGTTATCAAATATAGTATAGTTTTATACTTTGTACATCATGGTGGGTTTAGTTTAGTCTGACCCTGAGTTTAGTCTCAAACTATGACCCTGGCCTCTAAAGCACCATGTTCCCACCAACCACTCAAGTGCGGGTGCTCACATAGACCCTGGCAATGCCTCACCACTGGCCAGCTAAGCTTATGGTTAACATTTCTGTTCTGAACATAGGGATTTATCAAACCATTCTTCTCAGAGACCCTGAGGCCAGTCAAAGGGTATGTGGCTGCTAAGAAGACAGAGAACTATTCTTAAGAACAAAAGGGTAAGCAGTAGGCTCAAACTACATTTGATATATATACAGGTGCTAACAAACTAAAGGGAAGGACTTCCAAAATATACTTTTAAAAATATATAGTATCATGACCCGACTGCTGCTGTCTATCTGTTGAAGGTCAGGAACCTGGAAAAACATTCAGAATGGGTCACTCCCGACGGGGACTCACAAAGCTCCTTTAGTCAGCTGTTTGGCAGCGGGCCTCTTCTGTCCTCCCACGGGACCATCCACCTGGGGACAAAACACAGCTCTCCTTAGTCCCTTCTGCAGAAGACACAAGCAGAACACAGTTCATAAAGGTCGCTGTGGCTGCAGTCTTCTCAACTTTCCATCAATAGCACACTCTAAGAATGAAGAATTTGCCATGTTGGAAAACAAAACAAGGAAGTCCCATAGATCCATGCAGCAAAGCTGCACTGTGCCAAGATTATAGAAAGCTGAGCCATCAGCTCCTGGAAGGGAGTCACTTGCACCTTAAAGCCTGAATTCCTAGCTCCCTCTACAAATGCTTCATTATATTTTTGTTTTTTCCTTTGGCCACCTTGTGACACGTGGAACTTCCCTGACCAGGAATCAAACTCATGCCCCACTGCAGTAGAAACAGAATCTTAACCACTGGACAACCAGGGAAGCCCTTAAATGCTTATTATTATTTTTCTTTAATTTGGCTGCACTGGTTCTTAGTTGCAGCACGTGAAATCTAGTTCCCTGACCAGGGATCGATCCCGGGACCCCTGCATTGGAAGCACAGAATCTTAGCCATTGGATGACCAGGGAAGTCCTTTCGTTATATTTTTGAAAAAATAGTATTTTAAGTGCCAACTTCATAAACAACTGAAAATTCAGTAGATAGTCTTTAACTCATCTTCTCAGTGGTAAATAAGGGAGCAAACACATCTGAGCTCTTGTTACATCCAGTCCAGGTGTGTGATCTATCAGGGTATTTCTTAGATCATAGTAAAGAACAAATACTCCTTATGTCAGAACCTGAGAACTGAGCCAAATCCTTCACTGAGTATTCCAGGCAGGCCCAGACGATCACAAATTTCATTAAGCTATTAACTTGTAAAACTGATGGAAAAGAAACTAAGGCCTTAAAAAATGGAAGACAAAAAATTTGTTTCTTCTTTTTTAGACCAGTGGATGAGTTAAAAGACCACAGGGTCTGAGTACTTCATATACTCTGACAGGGGAAAAAAATCTCTAGTATAACTAAGAGGAACAGATCCACTTTTGATAAGATAATGGTTATTATCATTCAACAGTAAACTACATTTTTTGAGTGCCCATGATGTGCTGGCTGCTGGTATATTATTTTTTATATTCAGAATCATTTTTATTTTTAAAAGATAAATTTTTGCACTGTTTTATTTTATTTAATAAGTACTTAATATTTTCACAGGAATACATTTTCCAAGAAAAATCAGAATGGAATTTTTCAACTAAAATGTAATTCAAAGGCTTTAAATTATTGTTTATTTAAACAAATGTATTAATGTATTACTACAATTTATTTTGGGACACATTCTATTTACTTTTTCTCTTGAGGATTAATTTTTTCTTTTTAATTAATCTTTCCGTTTTGGAGTATAGCTGGTTAATAATGTTGTGATAGTTTCAGGTGGACAACTGCTGGTATATTATTGATTAATGAGGAAATGATAGCACCGGAAGTATGTAAGGAAAAGATGCATTCATCCTAGAAACATTAACATTACAAGACCTGGCCCTTGGGGAAGGTCTTCAATGAGTACTTTTGTGGGCACACAGGGCATCCGGGCTGACTGTGCAGACGATGCCAGAGAGCCTCTAGTAAGCAGAAGGGGATGTGACATTTTCTTTCAATCACACTGAACATTAAGAAGAAGCCAGGCAAACTGTCTTCTACCTGCACCGTTGGCTGGCCAGGAGGTGATCCAACGACTTTTTCCTGTTGGGGCTGTGTGGTTCCTAAGGACGCTGGTATAACTTTGCTTCCAGAATCCTGCCCTATTAGAATGAACACATGAGACAACGTTCAACAGAAACAGTAAATCAGGCCCAGCAGGTAACCCCTAGAGTCCAGTATACACACATTACTGAACTTGTTGAAACAGATTTATCATGGATGTTGGCTATGAGAAAGGAAAGCAGGAAGTACATTTATCTACCAAAGCGCAAAAAGCAGAGGTAAGGGTTATGAAAGATTATTTAGGTAATACATAGAAATAAACATATACATAAATGGTAATAAACCAAAAGCTGTCAAATGCTACAGTTTCAAGTCATCTAAAGTCTACGGAATAGGCCTCAAGCCAGTGATCTGTCAGTACCACCGAACCTCCAAATACTCACAACTTAAGGAAAGGGAGGCCCAAACAGGGAACAGGCTACTAGTGTTCATAGTGTCATCTTTTCTAGTACTTATTGAGCAGTGTGGGTGTTTAAAGCTTTAGAAGAAATGGGAGACATGACCCATGATACTTTCTGTCTCAGATGGGTGAATTCTAAATATACCTATACAAAGCAATGTGAGGATAGCTGCAAAGTCACATGTGCCATATAATACTATTTTCATTTTACTATTCTCAAAATACTAGGTTTCACTCTTTCTAAGCAACACACTTTTTGAACATAACTTAATAGAGATGTTTTAATTTCTCATTTTTTATATAAAATGATGGCACAGATGCAACACAGTATATAACTCAGGTGGAAGGGATACAGAAAGCAGGGAGGATCAGAGTGGAGGTGAGGCGGAGTGAAAGAGATGCAGGATGACGGGTGTGCAGAGGGTGTCCCCTGGGAAGACGGGCACGGATTGAGGAGAGCTCACGGCGGGGCTCCTGACCTGGCAGTGCGGTGCTCAAGAGGCCTGGCATGGGCGCTGGCCTCAGGCCATCTGTGGTCTTGGAAGCAGAAATGGGGGAAGTCTGATTCAAGCTTTTTTTCTGAGCCTGTGAAAAACATGGCCGAGATGGAAAAATTAAATCCACGATAAAAGCTTTAAAAGATCACTTAAAATGCCAACCAAGTCAGTTAATGAGTCTCCTGCATCACCTTCAGGTTAGATTATAAAACAACTGTCCCTGTCACATTGGGAGAACTGCAAAGAGCACCCTCTAAAGTCTCCAGGCACGCTGAGTCTTCTTGACACCAGTCAGGGATGCAGAGTTCATTGACACCAGCTGCTTTCTTGCTCCTGGAACTCCTGTGCTCATGGTGCTCAGATGCAAAGCTGAGCCTGGAACTCAGTTTCTGCCCCCCAACAGTTTCTAGCTTCAGGAATGCTCTATCACACCTGCAAGGATTATGACCTTGACTATGCGGGGTCTGCAGGAATGCTGACCACCCAGTCAGGACCTAAGTGCCAACCCCAGTCTACTGTCAACGCTTGCTGTTTGCTGTGTAGATGATCTGAAGCACCTCTCCCCCTGCTGTCTGGGAGGTCTTTGGTTCGTGAAATGACAGCCTCAGGTGGCAGGTAACTGGGAAATGTAAATTCAGCTGAATATTAGAGCAAAATATCACTAGAAAAATTAATCTGATGTTTAAACTGTTATGTGCTTTTCTGTAAATAAGGAAGAGGAACTGGATGATGTTTAAGGGCTAACAAGGTCTTTCTAGCTCCAAAAAATGTTATCTCTATAATGCATTTAAAGTGATAAACAGTTTCTGGGCTTCCTTGGTGGCTCAGCGGTAGAGAATCTGCCTGCAGTGTAGGAGACACAAGTTCAATCTCTGGGATGGGAAGATCTCCTGGAGGAAGGTATGGCAACCCACTCCAGTATTCTTGCTTGGAGAATCCCATGGACAGAGGAGCCTGGCAGGCTAGAGTCCATAGGTTCGCAGAGAGTTGGACATGACTAAAGCGACTGAGCACAATAAAGGGTGGGTTTCTCAACCACACCCAGTTTTTAATCCTTTATGTCATGACTATTTCACAGTGCAGTAAGTTTCAGTTTTTCCTTCACTTTTATACTTTGTACACCAGCAGATGATTTAGTGTAACCATCTCCATGGGTGATGACATGTGACTCTGGCCTAAGAAAAAGTTTCCCACCAACTGTTCACGTGTGGCTGCTCACACAGAACTGGGTAATGCCTGGTCACTAGCCAACTAAACCAGTGAACTAGATATGTTAATATTTCTGTTCTAAACAGTTAATTATGCTAAACAATGATCTATTTGGCTCCTTTTTCTAATACAAAAATGGAGAGGGATTTGACATCTTCCAAGAGAGACTGGAGGAGGTCATTACAAAGATGGAAATGGTCACCTTGCTCATCTTTCCATTAGCAGGGAAGCTTGGACCTACATCTCAAGTCTACAGGCAATATTCATATGTTCTTAGTCAGGACACCACAGGGGAGAACCTCCTAGTCCTCACAGTTTCCCCTGGAACATAACTCCACACTCTCCTACCGCAGAGAAGCCACAAGGAGGATATCCATGTTGTAGGGAGGCCTGCGGCTCTCCTCACAAATATCTCCAGCAGACAGACACTAAGGGCCACCTGGATCTAGTGGTTAGGACTCTGGACTTTCACTGCTGTGGCCCAGGTTCAACCCCTGGTTGGGGAACTGAGTCCCTACAAGCTGTGATGTGTGGTCAAAAATAAAAAGAAAGAAAGGTGCCACTTTGGATAAAAAAACAGATAAAAGTTGGGAAAATGTGGTCTAACAGGGTAAGGCTATATTCTAGATGGGACTCTGAAATAACAAAATCAACAGATGAATGCATGAACCAGAAGGAATATGTTCAAATGACCAAAGTCCTCATAGCAGTGCTGGCAGGACACAACATTTTTGGAATTTTCTTCAATATGCCTAGTTCACATGAAACAGAAGAATTTCATCCTTATTGCTTAAAAGCATACAACTTTGAAAAACTGAACAAATAAATGGCACTACACAGCCTGATCTCCCAACTTACTTGTCAGTCAGGACCTTGAATGACTCTTAGCTATTAAACAGACAAATAAAACAAAATCCGTGCACACGAAGCAGTGAAACCAGGGAACCCTCCAGCAGTTCAGTGGCTAGGGCTCCGAGCTTTCACTGCCGAGGGCTCGGGTTTAATCCCCGGTTGGGAACTAAGACCCCACAAGACGTCCAGCACAGCCAAAACAACAACAAAAAGAAAGTAAAAAAGTACGTAAGAAAAGCAAGGAAGAAATCATCATAAAAGTCAGGAGAAGGGCTGGGTTAGGAAGGCACACAGAAGGAGGTGGTTTGTGGGAGTACTGATAACATTCTATTTCTTGAGTGGTTACTCACACAGGCATTTGTTTATAATTATTTGGTTACTGTACATTTATGTTTTCTTTATTTTCCTAAATGTGTGTTTTTTTTTTTAATAACATAGAAGAGTAACAAGGAAAAAAAAATACCCTGAACAATCTAATCTAATGTCAAAGTTGCTTTCCAATTGTGATGTTGGAGGAGACTCTTGAGAATCCCTTGGACAGCAAGGAGATCAAACCAGTCAATCCTAAAGGAAATCAGTCCTGAATACTCATTGGAAGGACTGATGCTGAAGCGGAAGACCCAATATCTTGGCCACATGATGCGAACAGCCAGCTCACTGGAAAAGACCCTGATGCTGGGAAAGAGTGAAGACAAAAGAAGAAGAGGGTGACAGAGGATGAGATGGTTGGATGGCATCACCGATCCAATGGACATGAACTTGGGCAAATTCTGCGAGATAGTGAGGAACAGGGAGGCCTGATGTGTTGCAGTCCATGGGGTCGCAAAGAGTGGGACATGACTTAGCGACTGAATGACAATAATAGCAAAGGGAATAAATTGCCGCTGTGTCTGATAGTAAGGTTTTTATCTGCAGGATTCCTCTCATTTGAGCAGGTTCTGGTATGAGTGTTTTACAGGCCTCCTGCCCACCCAAGTGGGGGTTCAATCCTTGCATCAGTGCATTTTCATCCTCCAGCTACTGCTGGTACCCCTCACTGTGTCCCTCCACTGGGGACTGGAATGATCTCCCCAGTTGGAACACTTGGGGGTAACATGGAGGTTGGGTGGGTCAGGTAGGGCCGGGGTGGTGGGGGAATAGCAATCCACCGGGAATGTGGGTTACACCTCCATTCACCAGGTCTGTATGTTTGGAAAGCTCTGCTGCCCGACAGGCCCGCTCCATTTCCAGATGTTACTGGTCGCTCCCAGTCCCCTGCTTTTCAGGGCAGGATTTTTGTCTGTCTGGTTCACTGCTGAATCCCCAGCACCAGAAGAGGGCCTGACACCACAGCGAGCACAGGGTGAATCGCTGTTAGATGAACACGAGTGAGTGAATTCCACAGCAGCGTAAGTTATAGGGGCCTGTACTTCCTCCTAGTCCAATGCCCTCCTCAGCAGCCAGCAGCTTTCTGTCATTCCCCTCCAATTTAGGTTGCCCCCAACTGACCATCTTTTCCAGAAATAAAATTTGTCATTCTGGTCTTTTTTTCCTGAGCTCTAAGGAGAAAACTTCCTCTTGAAATATATTTTCTTTACAATAAACTATTGAAGGCTATTTTCTTGAGAACTTGGCTCCAAGAACTCTGCTCACATCAGTGTATGATTTTAACTCTTTAGATCCTGCATTATCTTGATATTATGTGAATACAGAGAAATCCCCCAATGAATCAGAATACCGAATCTAGCCCTACCCAGCTCTGTGGTACACTTTGTAAGAAGCCCACAACAAACTAGCAAGATGATAGTCACCAGGCATCTGCTGAATCAGAGAGGCTGCTGGGAATCTTCCCAGCTCACACCCTCCTCTGGGAATTGTCCCCCGCCACAGAAATGGGGTGGAGCCGGTGTGGTGGGCACACAAGGGATGTGAAGAGCTAGAATCCAGGGCAGGGGCACCTCTTCTTCCTGTGGAGAAGCGCCAACCCTGCCAGTGAGCAGCTTCTCCCTCCTAGGGGCACCTTTCTTTATTTCCGCTCAGGGGGCACTTCTTCCTAATTTGAACAAAGACTCGGTACATAGCAGCAGTGGCCCCGTGTGGCTGCTTCCTCAAGTCACTCATGACGGGCTCCTCTGGTCAAGGCTGACTGAACCACGGGGCGCCAATCAGATGCTCCTTGGAACTGAGAATGGGGGGGAGAGGGAGGGGTACCTAAGAGCAGTAGTTCTCAAGTGCAGGTTTATAGCCTAATTGTACCATGATCACCTGGGGGCGTTTCTGAAAGACAAAGTTTTGGGGTCATATGCACAAAGATGGATTCAGAAATCCAATGTGGCGTTTAGGAATCTATTATTTAAAAGAGCTCTCCAGGGGATTCTGATGTATTCTCAAGCTGGGGAAACCACTGCACTTGCCAGTCTCCGTTTTTCTTTTGTCTCTTTTTCCAGTCTCTGTTACATGGTTGGCAAATATTGTGACGTTGGCCTGGGGTGGCCATTTGGGGCCAGAAGGGTGAGAGGGGGCCGTGAAGGAGAGAGGCAGGCCATCTTGGAGAGGCCAAGGAAACAGCAGAGAGCCTGGTTCTGACCCTTATAAAGGAGCTGCACGCCACGAGATGTTCTCTTTTTTTTGCTAAACAAGTTAGAGTGAGCTTCTGATAGTTGCAACCCAAAGTACCTTGACTAAGACGTTTAGGCGTTCACTGTATATACTATACTATGGTAATCAAAGAAAGGGGCTGAAGGATACTGCTACGGGCCTTGCCTTCTGAACATGTACCAGCCAGAGAACACTCAGGCGGGCCCAAACACAGCCCACCAGTGACCAGTTACGGTGGCCGATCTCAGGCCCTTAGTCCTGACCAGCAACCCTTTCTTTCTCTGGCTAGCTCCCTGCTCATTTTCCACGAAGCCTATTTCATTGTCTTCAAACCTGTAAGCCAGGTGAGAATTCATTCCACCTTCTACCATCAAAGATATGACCTCACCTAATCCCCAGTCATCCCTTCCCCCTTCCCTGTTACAGTGGAAGAAGCATCTCCCCCTTTCT